TAAAGCCTTACAGATGTGCCTTTTGGTTGGATCTGATGAAATTAGCTCAATCTCAAATCAGATAAACAATATGACCCATATTATTGGCAGATAAGTAATCATTTTAATGCATTTATGGTGGTTTTTTCTTAGTTGAATCAGTTTAGCTTTGGGGTTTGATTGCATGAAGCCTTCCTGTCATTTTGCTTTTAGATTCCTCTAATGTGTTTATGGTTCAAAGCTCTTCTGGTCTTCCATTGTAAAACTGTTGATTATTTTCAATAGCCTGTTATTGGACACAGTTGACTATTTGAGTCTAGTGCCTGAATCAGATTATATTTGATTTTAAATTAAACATAGTATTAGTTAGCAAAGATGTGAAACTAATGATAATTAGCCTTGTTGGTTGGAAGCTGCTGAGTAATGTTTTTTTCTATTCTTCCCCTCTAAAGACTTTACTCTATTCAACAACCTAATTAAAACTTTGCCTTAATGATACTATCCTTTCTCCAAAGCCATAGTGGCTGTGTGACTTGTGGATACATGTGGAAGCAATATGTGGTTTGTCTTCAGTCTGAGCTCGTTTGTAATGTAGATGCATCTATAGTGTCGCTGAATTTGGTGTGCTCTGGTTTTTACTGCACATTGCTGTTGAAGTGCTCTGTCCACTGACTGTAATATTTGGCACTGATGTATTCCGTCATGTCAGCCTACTGGGCTTCTTTGCTCCCATCAGGCTGCACTATGGACCGTTGCCCTCCTGTTCTCACAGAGCTCACCTCCCCATATCCAGAAAATGTCTTGACTTAGTGTAAAGATGTACCTCTATGCATTTGAGCAGGTGAGCTGAAGTTCTGGTCCAGTGGTTTTCTGTGCAGAGGAGCCTTGCTTCATTTAATGGCAACCTTCAACACATCCTCCTTTGGCTCTAAGCAGAGTACCATGGTTCCATAAAAAGCCATATAGAACTTCCATGCTCTGAGGTGTGAAAAATAGGTCAGATATATTACACAAAGCTCAAATAGAGCTGTAATTTATGCTTGGAGAAGTAAAGTTTGGCTGATTTTTAAAAGTTTTTATTAACCACACTTAATAAATGTACATCTATTGCTTATGCAATCAGTAGAAGTGAATAAGTACAGTTTTAATGGTGTACTTCTGCTGTTAAGTAAAAAAGTAGATTAGGTCAGAAATAGACTTAGTTCAGAGTGAGGGGATACCTTTCAGATCAAATTCTGTTGAGTAAATGTTGACTAAAGTAAATGAGTCAATTTCATTTCCAGATAGGAGAATCAATGTGACTTTGCAGGTTGTTCAACTATAGAAAGCGATTTAGGTCTTCATATTTGCAAGTCAGACGAACAGCTCCTAATTTTGCTGATCTTTGTAGTTTTAGATAACAAGATGGCTTACAACAGTAAATTCAAGTTCAATTCTGGTTTGATTTACTCTTCTAGTCGTGTCTTCTTTTTTTTCAAACAAGTTTAGTCTTCACCTTGTAGCTTCCTTGTAATCAGCCACTGATTGTACGCAATTTATGAAGAAGAATGTCAATCAATGCTTAGGTTAGTGCAATGTAATGTATGTATAATGAAGTCTGGCTTCTGAGTGGGCAGATGTTTTTTGGTTTTTTTTGATTGCTCATTCTCTTGTATTTAATTTTCCACATAGGCAGAAAGTCCTTTATCCCTCATCCTTCTGTGCTTCTCCTGTACACCTTTCCAGACACTTTGTCCTGAGAAATCACCAAAGCACCTGTACCATTGCCCCATCTGTAGAAATGAGAGAGGATGTTCCTGTTTGTCTACGGAAAACTTTCCAATGTTGAAGACAGGATTAAGGTGGTTTCTTTCTGAATGGGGGGACAAACTTCCCAGTTCATTTCTGATGTCTGGGGAAGCTTTAGGAAGCATTCCCACTCTGAGGACTGTTCTATCAAAGTGGAATGTTCTAGACCTTTCAGAATTAGTTTTAAGTTACTTTAAAAATCAGGTTTTCTCTCAAACAGATGCAGCTCACAAAATGTGTGTTCCCTGGTCTTAGTGATATATCGTCCCTTCATTCATATCCCCACAAATTCAAACTATTATAAAGCCAAGACCCCCATTATCAAACAGTACAGCATAACTTTTACAAACAGTTGGGGTAATTGTGTTGTGCAGTTGTGGTACTAAACGGCATACAATAACTGCATTCACATTTTCAAATGTAGTGATTGATACTGTCATGGAACCACCCACTCAAACAGCAATAGTAACAACTTAAATTATATTTATAGTTTTTGCAAACATAATCAAGTTTATCCTGATGAACATAAGTCAGTTCTTGTCAATCATTTCCCCCAGTTATCATAAGCAGTATAATTATCCATCCCAGGCAGCTGCTGTACACATCAGGCTATTTTAGGTTGTTAATGGTGAATTCTATAGATGTCCATTGAGCTTTCAATATGAACTAATTGAAGAATATACAAATGAATGCACAGAACAAGCTGGACTTTATTTAAGCCTATACTCAAAGAGAAATTAGATTTGGTGTTTGAAATCACTTTTATGTACTAAATAGAAAAAAGATGTGACTTTATGTTCCTTGCCATACTGTAAGCCTTCTTCAGCAACACTGAAGAAAACATGCACACACATTATTCTGTATTTGTATGTTAAAGAAGATATATAGACCTATATTCAGCCTGTACACATACATATACCTGTCAGTCTGACCTGTAGGAAATCTTTGTCTTTGATATGACATGTTGATCAGAACATAACTTTTACAAACAGTTGGGGTTTGTTTCTTTTTATTTGATCATTTCTCTTTATTAAAAGGTTATAAAGAGTATTGGAGAATATTCCACAGATCTGAAGTAATTTGTTAATATTTCAGATTTAAGGCAGCATTTCTGAGATCATTATTCATTGTTGTTCTTTCTTCGCCTGATCCCTGTCACCCGCTCATTCCAGAACCAAAGTGACTAGTAATAAGATTTTCAACATAACAACGTAATCACAATCCTAAAGACCTGCAGACATTGGTCTCCTTTCCACTAACATGGCCTAATCTGTAAATAATCTTAATAGTCTAATGTTTTATTTAGTGTGAAGAAAGTATTTATTTTAGATCTGGAATTTTTTTTTTATGTATGTGTGTAATATTTTGATTTCAGTACAAAAATAATTTGCATGTTTTTCTGTTTGTATTCTGCTTGCCTTTTAATTTTAGCTAAATTGTATTTTTTGACTATCTTTTCAATGCCTTTTGACACAAAGACCTGGTTAAAATCAGAAAAAGCAATGCCAAGCTTTGACAAACATGGATGGAATCAACATGGCTGGTTTAAGTAGTAATGATTGATTCACTGTACTGTTAAAAGTCACAGATATGCTTTTTCTAACATTTTGACAGTTATGATTACAAATACTTTGTATATCTTTATTGCAATAAATGAATCAAATGAAATCTGTTTTTGGTTTGTGTTTTTGAATCATACACTATGTGTATGATTGGAACATTATTATTGTATAATAATGTTCCAAATTTTTATGCTAATTATATTTTCTCTGATTTTGGTCAACGCAAATGATGGTCAGTATAATTTTCAATTCATGAATTATTACAGTATAAATCAAATTGTACTGAACAAACACAATGAGAGGTTTATTATTATTATTATTATTTTTTTTAAAGCAATTCAAACTGCACTGCTCCAAATTATTATGCACAGCAGATTTTTCAAACATTTTATGGATTATAAAGAACTGCAAAATGTCATTCTTTGAATGTACTAAAATCAAAAGCTATTTCAATCAAAAACATCTTAACAGACCAAGTTACATGTTAACATTGGACCTTATTTGGTATCACCTGCACAATTCTTGCATCCATTGAACTTGTGAGTTTGTGGAAAGTTTCTGCTTGAATTTCTATGCAGGATGTCAGAAAACCTTCCCAGAGCTGCTGTTTGATATGAACTGCATTCCACCCTCAAATCTTCTGCTTGAAGAAACTCCAAACGTTCTCAACAGGGTCAGAGGTCAGAGGAGAATGATAATTTCTCCTCTGAAAATTTCAGATTTTCTGTGTCATTGACACTGGTATTCCTTGCAGCATGAGATGACGCATTGTCATGCTTGAAGATAATTTTGCTACGGAAGGTACAGCTCTTCTTTTTGAACCATGAAAGAAAGTGATCAGTCAGAAAGTCCACAGACTTTGCTGAGGTCATTTTCAAACCTTCAGGGTCTCTGAAGGGGCCGACCAGCTCTCTCGCTCCCAAAAAATGACTCCACCACCTCCTTTCTGACGTCACAACCATTTTGGGATGTGGTGGCATTGGGAACGTCCTTAAACAGATTTTCTTTAATTGAGCTCACCAGATAAACTAATCAACCCAGATCTCTGAAATTAATTACAGTGATTCAAAGAGCCCTGAGACATATCATCTATAAATGTAATCTTTATGACACTTAAATCCTATTAGCATAATAATTGTCCGTTTAAAATGAAGGCACCCAGATTAGTTGTTATAAGCATTGCCTTAAATGGTTGTGTTTGTCTAAAGCACAAGTCCCAAGTCAACTTGGGAGTCAACTTGCATGCAAGTAATAAAACATTTAGAATAGATTCTATTATCCTTTGCCTTTCATATCTATAATATGAAACGCAATGACGATGTACTTGTCATTTTTGCCAAGTACAGTCATTTTACACATTCACCAGTCGGGAGTGAAATTTTCAGAAGAATGCAGCAAGATGACCTTCAAAAACTTTAAAATGTCCATAAGTTTTAGTTTTGAGAAAATGGTCACTTCCTCTAAGACGTGGTGTGTAACCTTAATGCAGATAGATGCCTTTTACAGTTTTCTATGACAGATGTTTCACAAAGTTTTTGTTTTAATTTCATAGCAAGTTGGACCACAATCACCCATTGGCTTTATGATTGAAAAGGCCAACAATTTTGATCTTCTTGATAGAGGGTTTGGACATTGTATGATGCAGATTATAGCATGATGGTTGTATCCTAATCAGCTCTGTTGTAAAACTACAATAGGCACTATTATGACAATAAGAGAAGCACAAATGAGCAAAATTATTGAGAGAACAATTTTGGAGAGTCTTTTTCTCTTGTGCTCTGCTTCTTTTCTCTTGAACAAAGAGTCAAATCCTGGAGTGTACAAGTCTTCAAGCCAAAAGTCCAGTTCCTTGGGTGTTTTTGTGTCCTATATTGGGGGACAAAAAAGTAAAAACCAGATGTCATTTTCTCAGTGATTATCTACTATTTTCATAGTAATTTGTTCCTGTGAATTTTAAACAGAAGCAAAAGGGAAAACAATTGATCCTCTTTGGCAAAGGGTTGTTATTTATACTATATTTAGAGATGTTATTTCAGTTTGAAAATAAAAATAAATGTTATTTATGTGTATGAGTTATCTCCAAACCTTCATTGAAAAATTCACATTGTCTTCTTTCTAAAAGTCATAGTGGAGATTTGTTGACTCTTGCACCACAGGATATAACTGTCTTGAGACATCAGAATGTCCATCTTAACACAGAACACTTTTCACCTTTTGTCTTGAAACAGTTTAAATGCAAGTTAATTGGACATTGTCTCAGAAGGTCCTGGATTCAATTCCAGTTCTGGGGTCTTTCTGCATGGAGTTTGTATGTTCTCTCTGTGCATGCATCGGTTCTCTCCAAGTACTCTGACTTCCTTCCACAGTCCAAAAGACATAACTTGGTTGATTGGTCTCTAAATCCTCCTTATGTGAGTGAGTGTGTGCGTGCATGGTTGTTTGTCCTGTCTGTCTCTTTGCTGCTCTGCAATGGACTTGTCCAGAGTGAATCCGCTTCTCACCTTGAGATAGGCATCAGCACCCCTTGCAACCTCAATAGGATGGATGATTTAAGAAAATGATATAATCAATTGAGGATGTGGAATAATATACACTTACTTCTACCTACTCTTTTTGAAATGGTCTATTTTACACATCTGACAAGTTTTGCACTTGCTTAGTTTTTTCTTTTGGTCTATGTTCAGAAACAAATCAATAAATGCAGCTAAACATTAAACATTTGATGCACATCTGGACTGAGAATGGTTCAAAGGAGCATTGAATCAAGCCATCTACATTAATGAGAATAGGTGCCTTTAAGTCCATATTTTGAACACCTGTAATGCAGCATTTCCTTCTTTTGCCAGGTGATTTCACAAGGCATATTTTGTTGTGAATTGGCCTATTGATAAACTACACTGAGTTTAGTTGAACAAGAGAAGTAGGTAACACTTTATTTGACCAGGTGTGTGTAAGACTGACATGACACTGTCATAAACATGATGTAATAGCTGTCATGAAGTGACATTCAGTAAATAATGACACTTTTAATGCAAAGTTGTTCTAAAATTTGGACTTCCATTGAAAATGCCAACTTTGCATTAGAGTATAAAATATAACAGTTGACACTGTTATATTGAGTTTCTTGCGCTCACTCCGGTAAATGAAGTGTTACTTCATTAGGAAGCAACTTCTAGTTGCTTCCTAATTAAACATTTAGATGTGGTTCACAGGTGAAAAGCTGACTCAATCTTGTGGAAATGTTCTAAAGGTTGGTCAAATTAGCAGACCTTTTATTGCCTTCATTTAGATTAAAGATATAGTTTATGATTATATAAGCTACAATTTTCCTTTTTTTCTGTCATTAACGGCAAAAATACCTTCAAATAATCTGTTAAGTTGCCATGGATAGTTTGTGTGTCATATTCTTCGATGGTCCAGGAAGGCTTAAACCTTTCATTGTCTGTTGTGTCGATGGATTTTATATCCTTGTAAAGAGGATTCCTTTTGATGTTATACTTCAGAGTTTCTGGAGTTATGTGCTTCTCCAGACAACTGTCCACAAACAGCACAGGACTACTGCCCTCTGAGTACGGAGGAATTTTTCTTCCATGTTGGGTTCTTTGTTCCTGCTGTCGGAAAAAAAGGAATAATTTTATTCTTATTTAACTGAGAATAAAATAACTATCTTAACACTGGAAATTTTGTAGATGAATTTACAAAGTAACCTAAACTACCTTTTAATGTAGTTACGGCAACCACAGAACTCTGTTACATTGCAGCTGACCTCATGCAATTAATTACATGCAAGCTTTTACTTCAATAGTTACAAAAGCTTAGAAAGACATTCATACGAACAACACATATTACACACAAAATCACTGTGAGGAAAAGCATGGAGAAGAGTAATGATAGCTCTGTTGCTCCATACCTGTAAATAGACCCGGTTCTGCCATCGTCTCTGACTGGAAACAAATGCTCCAACCTGGAACATGCCATGGGTAGCATCCAAAATGCCAGCATCCAGCTGCAGAAACTTTTCAGGATGATTGTTGTTGGGGAGAACAGAAATATCCATCTTTGGTTTGCTGCTCCATAAACAGTGACTTCTTTATCTGTCTGCAGCCTATTTCTGCACACCTGCTCACTTTAGCTGGCAAACTTGCCAATTATTCATGAAAAGCAAGATATTCATGAAGCTGTATCATTTGCAGGTGGGGTAACCTAATCTTATCATTGAAGACCTGATACAAAGAAGTAATACTGCCAAGAGAGAAGCAAAGACAGGGAGAGAGGGGGATGTAAGTAAGGTCCACCCCATAGTGTCATGTTCACTCCTCCTGCATGAGTGCATAGTGCCAGTAGACAATCTCTTGCTTTGTGTCATTGACCTTACAGCAATATCTCATACTGAGCATGTATGGAAAGAAAAAACTCCCATTTCAAAGGAAGAAACCTCCACCAGAACCGAAACCAGGCTCGGTACAATCTATAATCTGCCAAAAGCCACTGGAGGTTTGAGAAGACAGCGAAGATATACAAGAGAGAAGTAACTGAACTGATGTAAGAGTACTTTCTTCATGAAAATGTAGCCTAGTGGAAATTCAGACTTATTAAGACAGTTTACCACCACTAGAGTGTGCTGTTGAAACATCCCGAATGTCTGTTGGAAGTCAAATCCGTCCGTCCGTCCGTCCGTCCATCCATCCATCCATCCATCCATCCATCCATCATCTGTTCACCCTTGTCCCTAGTGGGGTCGGGAGGTTCTGGTGCCCATCTCCAGCTGCGTTCCAGGCGAGAGGTGGAGTCACCCTGGACAGGTCGCCAGTCTGTCGCAGGAAATGAAAAAATGTTAACAAGTAATTCATAAGAATAAAGAACCAGACATCTGAGTCTCTTCACCTCTCTATCATCTCCTAAGGTAAACATGGTACAGAACATTTTGCTATGATTGTCTCAGTTTCTTATTGTCCTTTTAGTCGACTATTATGGTAAACCATAATAGTTATTTGCTGAGGATGCAGAATTTGGATTATACGTTTTCTCACATACAATTATGAGCTGATATAATACGAATGGGAATAAAAAAAACCCAAATCATAGTGTAAAAGTAAATACAGTTTATTTTACTATGACCTGAAATCTCACAGCAGCTTTTAGATTCCTGATCACTTTAAAGCTGCAGTCTGTCACTTATATAAATAGAAAGTTTATTAGGTCTTTCTGTGTAGGAAAAATGCAATTTTTCTTTGTTAATATATATTGCTCTATGGTCAATATTATTTTATTAATGTGTGTTGCCAGTTTGGATAACATGACAATCAAGCTATAAGAATGAAGGAAAACATTCTAGCAAAATGCACCAGACACAGATCTGCAGTCCAGGCAGTTCTAGACAGAGGCTGACACCAGTGGCTTTTTGGCTCACTTACATATAAAATGATAAAATATTGTCCTGTTTTTGTTTCATTTAAAAAAAAAATACCCTCATGAAAAAGCACCGACTGATTCCTGTGGCAAATGTGGTCCAGAAAAAGCCTTGGAAACAAATTTCTTACTTGTACAAGTGTTTTTGTATTAGCCTTTAAAAATGATTTCAGTACTAGACATTTTTAAAATTCCAGAAAATGAACATTTCTCATGGTGAAGACATGCATGAAACTTGGACTCAATGCCAATGTTCCACAGAAGAAATTTTATTTTTTTCTGAATGGAAAGAGATAGAAATATTTTAATGATGTTTTGAAGAATACCAGTCAACATCCTTAAAAATTATTACACAAAACTGATCTCCCTGTTCTGAGCGCCTGCTGTCATGGAGGCGGAATGGAAGGCTGTGGTTGCGGCCACATCGACGCAGACGCTGCGACGGGTCTGCGCAGCTGTGTTGCGCAGAGATTCACTCGCGATGTAAGATCAGAACGAGAGGCAGAATTCTCCCCCTGGAGTCTGTCTGACGAATAAGGTGCACATTGCAGATTCATCGTGTGCACATATCAGATGTCGTCATTGGGAGAACGCCAGACAAAATATGGACATGCAAAAGCTGGGATTAATGCGGTAAGACTTGAAGCTTCATTTATTTATATATTTACGCTGGACGCTCACTGTGATGTGTGCGGTGACTGATCACGTGAAGCTTTCTATCTTCTGCAACTGCGGCATTTAGTTACTCTTGGTGCAGTGGTTTATCTGTCATTACATGATGAACACGATGTGAACCGGCCAGGTTGAAATCTGCAACAATCTATTCGTTTGCATTCATTTGCAGCGTGCAGTGAGTGTCGAGCTTTGAGCTCTGAGCTTGCAGTAAAGCGGTGCAGAATCAGGCGGATCATTACTTGCTGTTTTCCCATCTTTGAACACTGACATCATCCTCATCAGGACTCTGGCTCCGGGCAGCGGCTATTCATGCAGTTCTCCCAACGCGCAGCGTTTGCAAGCTCAGCGCCTCAATGCGACGATCATTAGGATGTCGGCGCTCAAGTTGATTTTATTTCACAGACTGCAGGCCGCCAGTGTGGCGCTGCTGCAGAGCCTGGATTGGTGCTTTGATGACTGTTCTTAAAAAAAATAAACTCGACAGAACACTGGTGAAAGCTTGATGCTGTGGAACAGGGCCATGCAGAAATATTTCACTTTAAATTAGGTCAGGAGCCAATGCTATTCAACCATCTGACAATATAGTGTCTGCTGGTTAATTATTACAACCCAGATTTAAATGTTGATAAACAAAAATTCTCAATATTGTATCAGATTCTTTTACTGAGATCTTCATGTTATATTCCACCAGATAACAAAATGAAGACTTTAAACAAATATCGTCATGCTTTAGGTCTCAAACATGATTGTGCTACATCTTTTGGAAGATGATTTGATGTGGATTAGGTTGAGAAGGTAAGAAAGGAATCTTTTTCAAGTGAAAATATGACTACTTGTTGCCAGGGAGCTGGGCTTTTGGTGAGGGCAGGAAAGTATCATGTAATATCACTGGGCAACTGAAATGGATCAACCTCACCAAATTTTGGTGTAACTGAATTTTTTTTGAAGGTTTGTTGGCTCTAGTAGCCTTTGTTTAACAGTTGTCAGGCAGGAAAGTGAGTTGCAAGAGAGGGGGGAGACATTCAGCCAAAGTCATCAGGACTTGAACCTGTGACCAGAACTCTGGTCTCCATGCATGCATGGACTGCATGTTGTCCATGCATCCCTTTTCATCATAAAAGCATACTTTTATGATGAAAAGGCAAGTCTGATGACCACTCCCTGTAGAAAAGAAGAAAACTCATCGTTTTCGATCAGTTTTAATGATACATGTTTTAAGGCAACAATGACAGAATTTAAAGCCTAATTTTAATTCCAAAATTTGTAAACTTTCCAAAACACTTTCAGTAATATAAAATAGAAACAGCCTTTACTGTCTCACAAAGAGACTTTGAATTTGTATCAAATGTCAGACTTCTGGACTGGCTGTGTCCAGCACTGAGGACTGATTTGGTCATGCTCACTTTTCATTTCTTTGGCATTCAAACATTTTTCACAGGAGCTGAATTTTTGAAAGAAGTTTTGGGAGTTTTCACACCATCCATCCATCCATTTTCTGATCACCCTTCTCCCTAACGGGGTCGGGAGGTGCTGGTGCCCATCTCCTGCTGCGTTCCGGGCGAGAGGCGGGATACACCCTGGACAGGTCGCCAATTTGTCGCAGGAGTTTTCACACTTTTTGGTAAATTAAAATAATACAACTATCAAGAAACTATCAACAAACTTTTGAATTACAATAATAACATTAAATATTCATATATTAAAAGTGTAACAAGATCTCACAACTTTAAAACATCACAATATTTCTTGTTGAGGTGACTTCTGTCTTGTGAGCACTAGTCAGTTCTTGATGGACCTTAACAGATGCCTCAACTGCTCTAAATGTTTTGTTTACATCATTTTGGGAATTCAGTAGGAACTACAAATGGCTGCCAAGTTAGAAATAATAAACAATGTGTTAGCTCTGAAAGCTTTTTGTGTGCTGAAATAAGCAGAAAGTACTACTATAATAACATGGATGGATTTCAAAGTATACATTCCCCTAAATAACAATCAGTGCACTTAATCAATAGCAGCTGGGAAAAGTTGTTCTATAGATAACGAATAGCTGAAGTCCAAAGGTCTGAAAAGATAAAGATAAATCAGAAAAAGCAATCTGATTTCTTTGGATCTGTTTGTTGAGTTTGTGGGAAAATATATGAAAAGGCAAAAATAAAAACATAAACATAAACCTTAGACTAAAGACACTGTTGCTGTATAACAGTCTCATGAAGAGGATCCTTAGGGTTGTCTGTAATTTAAAGAAATTCATGTAGAATCCTTCTTTGCACCATCATTTCCAGAGGTTCCACAGTCGTCCCCAGAAAAGAACAAGAACAGAACCAGCCATCTTTATCAGGTCGGTGAAGCCACAGCGTCAGAGTCCAGAGTCCAGCCCTGTCTGTTGTCCAGACGAACACCGAGGTATTTATATTCCTCAGCCACCTCCACTTGTCCTCCCATGAAACCTTGTTTGTCTTGAAACCTACAATCATGTTCTTGATTTTGCTAAACAATTTTTTACCAGAAGAGAAAAAAAAAATGTATTTGAATATGCATTGTTCATTCATCTTATTCTTTTATTATAAATAAAGGTAAAATAAAATATCAGATGTCAACACATATTGAACTTTAAAAAGTATCTATCTATCTATCTATCTATCTATCTATCTATCTATCTATCTATCTATCTATCTATCTATCTATCTATCTATCTATCTATCTATCTATCTATCTATCTATCTATCTATCTATCTATCTATCTATCTATCTATCTATCTATCTATCTATCTATCTATCTATCTATCTATCTATCTATCTATCTATCTATAGATAGATATAGATATCTATCTATCCATATATAGATAGGGAGCCTGAGGCCTTCCTCTGATGCAGATTATATAGATGGGTTGGTCCAAATGGTTTTCCACTTGGATCCGCTTCCTTTGAGGATTTCTCCAACTGGCACTCACTGAGAGTGTCTGTAATCAGAACTGTGACGATGATAATAATAATAATAATAATAATAATAATAATAATAATAATAATAATGGAGGAACTGGGTTCCTGTCTGAGAAAGAAATTCAAATAAAATATATATATATATATATATATATATATATATATATATATATATATATATATATATATATATATATATATATATATATATATATATATTTCAGTGAGTAATACAAAATTGTTACTCACATTGTACATGGAATAAGGATGTTAAGATCAGAGGAATATCTTCATTTTGCTCACTGATTTCCTCTGTTTCCCAGGTCCATCAGTCTCCGCGTGCGCAGTGGGAATAATAAAGAAACAAGCATACGATATTAGACTTCAGATATGTCTTGAGCTTTTTCCAGAGAATTCAATGCATAAATATGTTACATCAGCATTACACCCAGATTATCAAACAGTCCGACACATGACAACATCAAAAGTTACCTGCAACAAGTTGAAAAGAAAAGACAAAAATGAATTTCTGGGAATTGCTCACTCGGGCACAAAGCAATTCGATCTTCTGCTGTAAAACAAAGCTTTTTATAAGACTGTGTATTTCCTTCATTTAAATATATGTATTAGAAGGTGTGTTCTTCTCCTTGTGGGGCTATCTTAATGTTAATTTTATTACCCTGCTTGAGCCCTGCTCTTACCAGGCTCCTTCTTACATTCCAGACGAAAATCTATGACCTGCAGCTGGCCGTTGTTTCTGCCTCAAAGTAATTCAACAAGAAACTGATCTCTTATGTTAAACAAACTGGCACAAAAATCTAATGCTAAATAATAACTATAAGTTTGGATCTAAAAACTGCAGTGTTTTCTATTTTTAGAAAAGCTCTTTTAAAATACCTGAAATATTTTAGGAGTAAAAATAGTTTCCTAATTCTATTGTATTTCAATAATATAAAATGCATGCAAATAATATGGTTAAAAACTAACTAATTCAAAACATGCTGTTTAATGCTTAAGAAAATATCTTAATACGTTTGATTTTACTTTGGAGAAGGATTTTTAAAGTTTTAATGTTTCACTGAACTGTTAAACCAATCACCAAAGAATTTATTGTTTTGATAGACAGACTCCCTGTATGCATAGCAGTTAAGGGAGTGCAGGCCTGCCTATCTGCAAAATCCTCCTTAGAAATTTATGTAAGTTCACCTTATCGTAAAAGTCTACCCAAAAGGTTCATGCTCGATCCAAGATTTCATATGCACAAAGGTTAATGTTTCTAAAGTTATGCTAACTAAACTTATATTCTCAACCATGGGCTTCCATGAACAATATGAGTAACACTTTTATTTTTACTTTTAAACTGTTTACTATAACAGTTTATGACAGTGCAGCATGTTCACTCCACTGTTTGATTCCAGTTACAGTGTTGCAATATCTTTTCTTAGATGTTCGGATGCTACATATTTTGAAATTCAGTGTTCCCCTTAAGTTGTACCCATCCTCGCTTTCATAAAACATTTTCTGAAAACGTTTTTTTAGGTAACAAATTCTAAAAGACTTCATACATAAATAGTACAGTTTGATTAGTGCATGCAATACTGATCCTTTACTTTGGAGGCCGTATTGACTATTCACAAGTAACTGATGTTTTTCAATAAAATAGTCCAGTCTACTGATGAATAGCTTTTCTAAGATTTTGGAAAATTGTAGAAGAGAAACAGGATGCTAATTTGTGAAGTGTTTTTTATCTCCAGATACAGTGTAAATAACTTTATAATTTATTTTTATTAACTGGCCAGTTTCCCAATAGTATAAAAATGGCTAAATATGAATAAGAATGTTAGAAATCATCTCAATTATTTTTTTTATTTACCAATAGCATATCAATGTCATAATCAGAGGATTTTTTCACAGCATTAACAATATTTATAACTTCACTTTCATTAATTGGTTCACCAAATATAGTATAGATATTTCTTTCTATTACAATAGTATCATTCACAAGATCTTGTATTTCTTCTACTAGTTTTGGACCAACTAGAAAGATCAAAAAATGGTTGAATTTATTATACATATTACCATATAATTTTGAATAACATAGTCCTGACAGCAGTGTCAGGATGATGTAACAGTGACAGTCCTAATTTGAAGAAAAATAAAATGATGAAATGATGACTGAAGCGCTGCATTTAGCATCCAGATTGCAACTCATTTATTTGTTAACCAACAAATCTTTTATATTGTGCAATATTAATGGTTTATATTACTTTGTTTAATAAACCTCAACAGTAATAATTATCTCTTTTTTTCACATTACCATCTTTCACTCAATGAAGATAAATCAACAGTTTTAAAGCTTTACTGCATTTAATTGCATGTTAACTGGTCTAAACATCAAAGAGTACACTGATTTTACCAGTACGCAACTTACAAAAATATATGAAATTTAACATGGAATTGTTTCAACTTTACTCTCTGAATTCCCACACTTTATGAACAAAGAACAGTTTCACTATCTTTAACTTCGCTTGGACTCAGTTTATTCTCTGAGCTTCTTTATGAGTCAACAAGTTATTGACTCATCTTTTAGAATCTGTTACCTAAAAAAATGTTTGTTATTATTCAAACAAAAGCAAAATAAAACTCTTAAACCCTGAAGTTACAGTCTTCTAATGACCTAAACCCACAAGACGTGCCCAGTGGGGGTTGGCAATGACAGCCAAAGCGCTGCCTTTAGCATCAAGCATGTGTCTGAGGCAAACAGGAAGTCATTATGTGTAAGAACATTGAACTTTCAGAGCATTGATTTTTCAATTGAAGTTTCAATGCTCTGAAAGCAAAAGTGGCCAGTCAATTTTGGGTGGTCATCGTTCCATTAGACATGGAATATATGAGGGTAAGATTGTAAACTATAAAAATAGTTCACATACATAATAGTTCACAAAACATGCCCAATTTTTGACAACTGTACCTATAAAAAAGTGCCTCTTAATATGCCAGAACCCATGTCAAAATCAAAAACAATGTGACTGCAGCTTAAGAAAGGGGTGATTTTTTTTTTAATTATTCATTTTCTAAATAAAGATTAGACTTCCAAAGTTTGAACAAGATTCTTGTCTGAAATTAGAGTTTGGCATAACCAAAAGTAAAGGACACATTTGTGTTTGGTCTCACATCTCCTATTGGCTTCAAGACCAGATCAGCTTTGGTCATTTGGACATGAATTTTTTTTTTTAAATCATTCTTTGATTGAATATATTTCAATCAAAGAAATATATTAAAATATATATGTACTAATAAGAAATTAGTACATGTGAATATTATGGGTCACAACTAATTTTCACACCATAGAATGTGAGTTGCAATTATTAGCAACAATTACTATTGTTATTGGTAAATTGGTAAATGGACTAAACATATATAGCGCTTTTCCAATCATTTTGATTACTCAAAGCGCTTGAGGCTATAATCACATTCAGAAACACCCAAACATTTAGACATCAATACGCAGGTTGGTAGACAACTTTTATTATTATTATTAGCAATAATTGTTAAGCATCTACTAGATTTGCTACAATGAAAAACATTGTTTCTAACCACACAAAAACATACTTCAGTGCAAATGACAGTGCAGCATGCATAATTTATATCACTCTAACTTCATGTACACTATGCTTTCTATGTCAGACTCATTTTCTACAGGCTCATGGAACCAGAATAACACAGTTCCATATCCTCCCCAAGACTGAAAGAACCAATAACTAAATCCTCTCTTAAAAGCTTTTTTCTTTGTAGAGTTGTGGGTCATCAGGCACCAACAAAGCACAGCTTTCTGCCTGAAATACCATTTAATTCTAATACTAGTCTTTGTTTTGAGTAAAAAAAAAGAGATGTAGCATGCTCTAAATAGGAAGAATTTGACTAATATCACAAGTTGCGCAAGTTTTTATATATAGAGCACCCAACTCTTGAACGTGACTCGTCGGTTTATGCAAATCTTCTCTCTGTATCCAGTTTAGCATGCTACAAACAGCATCAAAATATAAGAGGTAATTATGTATATAAAATCACATATATATATATATATTATATATATATATATATATATATATATATATATATATATATATATATATATATCTAAGAGGAATTTGACTTACTATAGAGTTTAAAACAGAGAAGCAAAATTAGGTTTTCCTGGGGGTGGGGATCCAGTTCCAGTATTTCTGTGTTGCAGTGGACCCTTGAAATATGTAGATCATGAAAAACTGCTCACTGACCGGAATGTTACTGTGGTTGTGCGTTATGGTCACTGACCACTGAGCTCTCCCTCCCTTCGTGTTTCAGTACTACTTTGCTACTGTCAGGCCCCTTTTCCCTGGGCGTTGTTCTGCAGTGATCTTGTCTGTCTGCTGACTGTTGTCTATGGTGACTTAAATGATGTTATAGGTTTCTGTTAGTATATTGTAAGGAATTAAGTATCTATCTAATGGTGTCTGTATTCACAGTGGAAGTAGGGGTTCTCCGCCATTTTCGTTGTAATCTGTTTTTCTCCTGGTTTGTGGGTAGTCAGGGATTTCAGGATTTGTATCATTTTCAGTTCTCTAGAAAGAAGTTGTTTTACTTTTTAAAAGGGGGTGTTTTGTTTGCTGATTTGGCCTTGGAGACCCTGAAGCTTAAAGCTTCCCTGTTTTTTCCCTTCTATTGTGATTCAGATTGTACCTAAATTGTAAAATAAACTCTTTTGCAACTGATATCAACTGTTTAGTTATTACAGTTTTTTTGCTACACCCAGTGCCAGAATTTATCCTTAGTTGTCTTGGGGAGGGGTTGTAACATTGTGTTGAAGAAGTGATCTACATTATGTTCCTTTGCATATCCTTCAGCACTTTTTGATGGTGGAAGGATATGTTAATAATGTGGTAACATTAGTAGCATGTTACCACTGCTACTGATAAAAGTAACAGGGATGGTGATTTTCAAATGATTTAAAATGATGAGAAGTTTAATGATATTAAACAATGGTACAGAATTTTCATGTTTTTGTTAATCTTATTTTTACATGTTTAACACTTTTTGTACTGTTGTGTGAACATCTGATAATCTATTCTATCAGATGTGGTATTACTTTTACGCTAGACATAATAGGACACATACCTAAAGAGTTCTGCTTTCATCCCAACAATCCACAGAATGTTGTCCCAAAAGTTTTGGGGATCATCAAGATATTTTTGAAAAAATTAAAAGAGCATTAATGGGGTCTTTTTCTTTTACGTTTCTTGCTCAGAAACTTACCTCTGAACCATGGAGGCTATTTTTGTCCAGTCTCTTATGATGAAGCCATTATCTCTGAACTTAACTGAGGGCAATGAGGCCTGCAGTTCTTTACTGTTGTCATTGGTTTCCCTTAAGACTTTTTGAATGAGTGAGTGGCTGCTGTACTCTTGGGATAATTTTGGTCAGCTAATCACTCCTAGGAAATTTCGCCACAGTTTCTTGTTTGAGCAATCACTTTTTCACATTGTTAAAAAAAAATTCTGCTTTAATAATAAACACCATTTAAAATCTGCATTTTTGACTAATATTTAAATTGATTTGATGTTCTGATATATGTAACAGTAACCAATATGCAAAAATAGGAAATCAGGAAGGGGGCAAACACTTTTTTACACCAGTGTAGATTTTTGTTTTGCTACTTAAGCTGCTGAAGAGAAATAATGAACATCTGATGTAAGTTTGACCTAAGTTCTTAAACTTTAGATGAGTTAAGTTGAGTTTAATACAAGTAATTTCACTTAATATATTGAATTTTGTGTGCGAGTAATGATGCACTGCCCCTGCATGGCTAGTAAATCACTTTTGGTGAGCTAAAGAAAATTATTTGATTTCATATGTAATTATTCTTACTGTTTCTCATAAATGTAACTTTGAAATGTCCTGCTTCTATAAGCATTTACGCCTTGTAAATGTCTTTTAATATATGTCCTTCATTTAACGTAAACAAAAAGAAAAATTATTGTCTGTTTGTTTGCCTTCTTAGGTTACCACAATATTGAGGCAACTTCATGGAGAAAGCTAAAGGAATCCCTTTAAGATGACACGCACAGACCCACCTGATATACTGGTATCAACTGTGCATCAAAACATAAAAGTGATTCCTATATCTACCCACTACAAATCTTTGCAACCCTCCAAACAATGTGATTTTATAAATTCCATTACACTGGAGGACCATCAGAGCAAAGTTAATAAGAGGCACTGTCGAACCTTTGACTATAAGTCATTGGAGTACCCAAAATCACACAAGTCCTCAATGGAGTCCCCACACAGAAAAGCTGATAGGCATGCAGCCAACCCAGATGTTGCTTGGAATGCCTTGAGTCGCCACCAGAGATACCGTTTTTCTGCTCCAGACATTTTCAGTCACAGATTAATTCCTCAATCAGTGACTGTAGAAAGGGCAAGTGAGATAGTTGTCCCTGAAAATAAAAGAAGGACCAGGTCAAAAAGTGCCTCTCGTGTTCAGACTGGCCTCACTCCTGTGACTTTTGAAGGTTACTCATCATCAGGAAGGAAAGGAAGAGAGTCCCAAAGGGTTCCAAGAGATTCTCGCTTAAGAGCTGAAGCATCCCCACTTAGAGAGTCATCTTATGCAGCAACAAGGACTCATATGCATGAAGTACATCCCATTAAGCTGCAGCCTCAAATTGGTGACAGTAGTAGATATTCACCACACTATGTTTCTGATAAATTTGAGGATGGAAGTCTAGATAAATCAGCAACTAGTCCCCATGTTAGGTGTCGAGTGGACATCAAGCCCGATGTGGCATTACATCATTCAGGTCGAAAACAGACAACATCTGCAATGGACATACCCTGGCAGAGGCATCACAGTACTGGGAGAAGTCTGACTGTGCCACGTCATTTCTCCTACTCCAGAACTCCAACTCCTACTGACTCAATGGGTGCAGAAAGTAGGCAAGCTTATCAATATTCCCGAAGCATGCCAAATACTTACCTACAACACATGGAGCTTCCTTTACAAAGAATGCCTTCTGCTAGTCATTATTATGGTAGAGAACAAAGAGCTCATTCCAGTCCTAATGTGCCAACAAATTTTTTTTATGCAGACGATGTAGCCAGATATGTGACTGCTCCTGCTCCAAAACCAGGATCTGTTTTTCATGATGAGCATTACACACCAGGTAAAACATACAGTCCCAAAGTACAGTATGTGCAAGATCCAAGGACTCGAGTAGTGCATGCTGTAACTTCTAGACCATATTATTCTGAAATGGAGCCCCACCCTTACTCTGTACAGTCAGGATATCCCAAACAATATGCTGAAAATGAACCAGGGCCATACATCATAAGCACACCCCCCACAAGTATATTGTATGGTGATGATCCAAGAACTTATCAAATTCAGACAGCACCACCACGACTTTATTATTCCAATGATATGTTTGCAGTGCCCCCAGAGCACCATGTTCCACCAAGGGCATATTATACTGAAGGTCGAAGACATGCTAGAGTCACTCAACCACAAATTGATGACTGGTATGGCTCTGATGCATCTGGTTATTCTACCAATCCTGCCTCCTACGTGTCACAGATCACTCCAACCAGAATCCGGCAAGAGCCTGTACTAACTCCATGGTATACCAATCCATGTGTAGAACCTCAAAAAATAGGTACAGATTCCAAATCTTATTCCAGGTCTTGGGACAATATTCTCAACTCACGTGTAGAAAGAAAACAACCTCTTCCTGTACAAAGAGGTCAGAGCTATGATGATCTTCTGGACTCCAGGAAGCCGCCTACAGTCAGAGGTGACAAGCCAAAACCAGTGGTAGTCAATCTTTCCAGTTCACCAAGACGCTATGCAGCCTTATCAGTATCTGATAACTCACTTATTGACAAAAGTCCAACAGAGACGTTAAAAAGTCCCACAAGCAAACTTTGGTTTGTTACTCCTGAAATAACAATCACTGATAATGACACTAGGCCAGGAAATCTTAACAAGGCTGAAGGACGGTCTGCAAGTTGGGATATTCTTGACTCTAGAAACACTGAGGGTCTAGAATTACATGACTTTGATAGCTCAACCAAAGAAAAGACACATGATAATGCCTCACTTCAGCAGAGCCTTGAGCAGCTTGATGAGCTCCTAGCAGATCTTGTGACGGACTACAAGCCACCCAGTAGACGAACAAGTGAGGAGATTTTGGACCAATTAAAGAAGTTAATTGATGAGGAAGAAGCAGTATCTCTGTCTAGAAAATGCTCAAAGCCAGATACAGACGAACCACTGCCTCTGGACAAGCAGCCAACTTCAATAAAAATTAATCCAGATGTTTTTCGTGACATGGATGGGCCAAGTGATGCAATGAAGACCGCAGAAGAATGCTCTCCAGATCAAAGTCCAGATGAGGATGATACAATGATGTGCTCCAACAATAAGTGCCGGAGAACAGAGACCTTATTCAATGCTTGTCTTTACTTTAAATCTTGCCACAGCTGTTACACCTACTACTGCTCTCGGAACTGCCGGAGAGAGGATTGGGACATACATAAAGAAAGCTGCTTATATGGAAGAATTGGAAGCACATGCCGGCATATTATAAAACACTGCCGGGAGACTGTTGAAGTCCACAAAGCCTTCTCCCGTATTGCCAAGGTTGGCTACCTTTCTCGAGGTCGGGGGGTTCTCTTCCTTGGCTTTCCAAATCCTTCTTCATCTTGTAGCTTCCTGCAATATGGCCTGAATAGTTTACCAATGTCTCCTACTTACCTGTCTCTCCGGGAGCTTGAAAGCTTCAAGGACAACCTGGGGGAATACTGTAAAGAGCTGCAAGAAGCTGGTAAAGAATATGACCCAAACGAATGTTTCATCTTGAATGTATCCATTGCTGTGGGTGACCAGCTGCCCGATGGGCCATCGCCAAGGAATGAAGCTCCTACAGTCAGAAAATATGCAAAAATTGCATTGGCTTCCTTTAGTCCTGAGAGAAAGGTTCACAAGAAAGAGGGTGACATGGAAACACTGATCCTTACACCACCTCCAGGAACGGCTGATATTGACATGGAAGGAGAGGAAGGTCTGAAGGCACGAGAAATCTGTTTTATCAATATACAACGGGAACTGAGAATGAGAGGAGTTTTTCTACGCCATGAATACCCAAATGTGTATCAACAGCTTTGTGAATTTGTGGAAAGCAACAGAAGGTTCACACCCACAACTATTTATCCAATTGATAAAAGAACTGGCAAACAGTTTATGTGCATGATCATGGCTGCCTCTGAGCCCAGAACACTGGACTGGGTTGGCACACCACATCTGCTTGATGACATCATTTAAGGGCACCTTTTGTTGAAAATAGATGTGTATAGAAATACATGCAAATTTTTGCACATATTTCTATTGGTCTAGCTGTATACAGTTGTGTGTAGTGCAGCTATAGAAATTGCATACATTCACACCTGCTTGGTCAGTAGTATTTATTATTAAAATATTTCTCATCAGGTGTAGAAGTACAATATGTTAGTTATTTATTTTAACACTATAAAATGTTTTAAGTCATTCATAAGTCATTTCCTGGTTTTCTGCTGTTACAAGACATTCACTATGGTTGGGACTATTAAACTCACAAAGTACTACTGAATTCACATATTGTTTTTTTAATCTCAGATAAGTAAATGGTGGTTATTATTTTGTCCTGAACCGTTTTACATGACTGTCTACATCTGTGAGTATGACATAAATATTTTCATATCTAACTTTAATGGTATGACATGCTGGAAATAAGAAACATTATTTTCTTAGCAACGCAAACACTTTCTATGCAAAGTTATTTCATCAATTGAGTACCACATTCCTGCAGGTGTAGCATCTGCTATATTATGTATGATGCATACATTTTACTATATAAATATATAAAAAGATTTTAAAGACTGGTGTAAAAATTTTGATGAAAGTGTAAATTCTTATTAGACATAAAGGATGACAGAAAGAAACATCTTGTGCTGCTCAAGATATCTAGTAGAAAAGGCACATTTTATATTGATTTGAAAAAGTACTCTATTGAAAACATGGACTCTTCTGTCTAAAGGCATACTTAGAGAAGTTCATATCAGCATAACATTTCTTTATTCTGCTCTGCAGAATTAGCAGAGCAATCCTGGACTTGAAAACTTTGAGGATGGATCTTAAAATGGTGCCAGTTACAAGCCCCACTAGAGGGTGTTGGCCTGTACTCTTCAGTTTAAACACTGTGAATAGTGAAAGTTATCTAAAACAAACCTCAACTTGGTCAAATACCAACATATAATGCAACTTCTTTGAAATACAATTTTATGAGTTATCTTTTTAGATATTTTCACAAATTAATCTATAGGAGTTACTGTCCTTTAAAACAAAGTGAGCCAGATTTTGGCACGGTAATTGCCAAAATCACAGTTACCGTCCTTTCTGAAATAGGGACAGAAGAAGTTAGCTGTGAATTTGTGCTGATCTAGGTTTATTTCATGTATGATGTCCTTATTAGTTTTAGCGAATCAGAGTCTATAATTTGTTTATTAGGTACAAAAATGTAGAAAGTTTAATAATACCACTTAGTCATATTGCCTCATTCTTTCTGTTGATTGTGTATTTGTAGCATCTTAAATCTTACTTTTATTGTAGAGGTGAATGGAAAGAAGGGTGTGGTTTGAATTTATTGTATGTTTGAGTGCTAATATTCTACCTAAATATGGTTTACCTGACACCACAGAAACATACAAGTCACAGTATATCACAAATATGTAAATTTCCTATTACGGTAATCACAAATGAAGGTTAATCAATTTGTTGTCCTTAAGCGATTTACCTTTCTCAGTCCTCAGAATCTGTACAACAAAGTGCAATGAAACTTGAGGCTTACATATATATTTAAAAAAAACAACAACTACTTTTAAAATGAAGTACTGTAAAAAAAAAAAAAAAGAAAAAAAAAAAACTTGAAAAGTTGACTGGCTGCATGTTATCTAATTTTTCTTCTCCAATCTCATTTTAACATGTTAGTAACTGAAACATGCTTGATGAATGAGCAGTGAAAGTGACACAATGCTGTCCAAGATTTGTTTTCTTCATTTCTATTTACCATGTTAAACAATAAGAGACCTCACTAAATTGTTTAGAAGATTCTGTAATCTTGTATTTTTTATACTTTCAACATATGTGTATTGTGTGTGTGTGTCTATTTATAAACCATGTCCAATAAATGGAACAGGAACTGCCTTCTTTCTTTTCTCAAGGGGATATTTATTCAAGTTACGCTTTTTAATCAGAATATTTAAAAGACAGGAATATTATGAATGAGCTATTTTCTTTTGTTCTTTTGTTGATCGATTGAGGACCTCTGATTTAAACAGCACTTCTTACAGCTGTGATGAGTGTTATGTCTATACCAGGTAACCCTGGTACAGACGAGAATAGTGTCATTTAATATTATCTACTTAAGTACTTAGGCATTTTTTCTATGGAGAGTATCTCGGTAAATGTTCCTCCAAAGATCTGCATATCTTTGGAGGAACAAAGATTTGCTGATTTTTTTTCCACCAAAGGGTAGGAAAAGAAAGGGGAAAAGGACAAGGGTAAGGCATAGAAAGAAGCATAGAGAAAAGAAAAATCAACACCTTTGAAGTCTGTCTCTTGACCTGCAGAAAAAAACTCCAAGTCATTACACAATGTATTTCGTAACTAGATTTTTATATAAAATAGGTCAATCTGACTGGATATCACCCAGTAAGAAATAAAGTTTACATTCGTGGACCTTTGATGGCATTTTATCTACCAGACCTTTACAGTTAAAACATGTCAAGAGATGCTACCTTTGAGAGGCCTCGAATTCTTGAGTTTTTGTACATTCAAATATACTTTACCATCAATTTGTTAATTGGTAAGTTCAACTTCATTTCAACACTGTGTGTGTTCAAGCTTTATGTGGGCCAGACCATTAGAAGGATATGTAGCATCAGACAAAGTAGGGCAGTCCTCCATTTTCTTTTGTGAGTTCTGGAACTCACAAAAGACAGCAGAGGCTCAAGTGTAATATTATGTTAATATACTGCTAACCTGTTCCAGTCAATGTTAACACTTATTGGAAACTTGAACATTTGTTTGTGACATTAGTCCAACAGAAAAACATTAAGATGTCCATAATAACGTTCTGGATCGTTACCATCAGTCTCAGTAAGTATTAAATGAACAGATCAAATGAGATCAGGTAAGAAGTACAGAGTAACAAACAGGAAATCTAAAAAAAACTTTTTAAAATTTTTATGACAGTCCCATTTTACAGCTAATGAACGACCTGAAACCTGTATTGTAGTCAAAAATCTGAGCAATAATAGTAAGAACCACAAGCCAGGTTCCAAAAAACGGTTACAAGCACAGGCAAATTAGAAAAGTTGTATATGGATGGAAATTTAAGGTGAAACATTTTCAAATAAAATTTACAAATAAAGAAAAAGAAATAGTTTTAGCAAGAGAGCAGATAAAAGATTTGTTGCATTTTGATGGAATTGGTTTTAGTAAGATTTAACTATAAAGGTTCATAACTTGGGATCAGTGAATTAAGCTCTTCAAAGCTTTGGCTCTTTAAAAAGCCCATCCATCCATTTTCTGTTTACCCTGTTCCCTAGTGGGATCAGGAGGGGTGCTGGTGCGTATCTCCAGCGAACAGCTTGCCAGTCTGCAACACAGAGACAGACAGGACAAACAACCATACGCAAACACTCACAACTAGGGAGAATTTAGAGAGACCAATTTACCTGACAGTCATGATTTTGGTCTGTGAGAGAAAGCCGGAGTACCCAGTGAGAGCACACGCATAGACAGGGAGAACATGCAAACTCCATGCAGAAAGATCCCAGAACCTTCTTGCTACCAACTGCAGCCTTCTTTAAAAAGTGAATTTGAATAATCCTCCATATGTGCCCTTTATTCTTTATTCTTATGACCCAAGTGGAAATATTATTTCTACTTCAAATGGAAGTAGAAATATTAAACAATCTGTACTTGGTCAGTTTAAGTAAGCACAAACAAGCTGGTATACTGATGATGAAGTATGCATTACATCAAACTTAAAATCTAAAGTGTCTCATTTTTAGCAAGTCTAAATATTGAGGATCATAAAGGAAGTGGCCAGTAGAGGGCAGTGTACTTGCTTTTAAGATCACTATGACATAGTGATATTCCCAGTTACTAGAAGTTACTCTATCAGGAGTCTCAAACTCCAGACCTCCAAGGCTGGTGTCCTGCAACTTTTAGATGTACCTCTGATGCACCACCTGAATCAAATAATTAGGTCATTAGCCAGGCTCTGGAGAACTGATCTACACAAGGAGGAAGCAATTAAGCCATTTCATTCTAGCGTTTTGTACCTGTGGGACATCTAAAAACTGCAGGACAGTGACCCTCGAGGACTGGAATTTGAGACCCCTGCAGATATATGTTTTATGCCAAACATATGGTTTTGCATTATGGCCAAATGGCTTATGAAAGTATTTGCCCTCCTTTAAGTTTTTAACCTTTTGCCTCTTTTCAGGCTTCAAACATAAAAATCAAAAAAAAATATTTTGTGAAAAACCAACAGAAGTTGAACACAATCATGAGGTGGAATGAAATTTATTGGATATTTTAAACATTTTTAACAAATTAAAAACTGCAAAGTGGGGCTTGCAATATTATTCGGCCCCCTTGCATTGATACTTTGTAGCGCCACCTTTTGCTGCGATTACTGCTGTAAGTCGCTTGGGGTATGTCTATCAGTTTTGCACATCAAGAGACTGAAATTCTTGCCCATTCTTCCTTGCAAAATAGTTGGAGCTCAGCGAGGTTGGATGGAGAGCGACGTGAACAGCAGTTTTCAGCTCTTTCCACAGATTCTTGATTGGATTCAGGTCTGTACTTTGTCTTGGGAATTTAACACCTGGATATATCTATTTGTGAACCATTCCATTGTAGGTTTTGCTTTATGTTTGGGATCATTGTCTTGTTGGAAGAAAAATCTCTGTCCCAGTCTCAGGTCTTTTGCAGACTCCAACAGGTTTTCTTCCAGAATGGTTCTGGATTTGGCTCCATCCATCTTCCCATCAATCCCTGCTGAAGAAAAGCAGGCCCAAACCATGATGCTGCCACCACCATGTTTGGGGATGGTGTGTTAAGAGTGAACTGTGTTGCTTTTATGCCAAACATATCGTTTTGCATTGAGGCCAAACTATTTTGGTTTCATCTGACCAGAGTACCTTCTTCCACATGTTTTGTGTGGAAGAAGGGATAGCCCTTTAAACCTTCTTGGTGGATTTGCAGTGGTCTGAAACTCCTTCCATTTCAATATGATGGTTTGCTCAGTGCTCCTTGAGATGTTTAAAGCTTGGGAAATCTTTGTATCCAAATCCAGCTTTAAACGTCTCCACAACAGTATCTCAAACCTGCCTGGTGTGTTCCTTGGGCTTCATGATGTTCTCTGCACTTTAAACACAACTCTGAGACTAGCACAGAGCAGGTGCATTTATACAAGACTTGATTATACATAGGTGGATTGTGTTTATCATCATCAGTTATTTAGGACAACATTGGATCATCCAGAAGTCCTCACTGAACTTCTGGAGTGAGTTTGTTGCAATGAAAGTAAATTGCACGGCCACTTTGAAGTTTAAAATATCCAATAAATTTCGTTCCACCTTGTGTCCCACTTGTTGATTCTTCACAAAATAATTATAATTTTAGACATACATACACACACACACACATTTCTTGGAAGCAGATCTTGGGGGGTTGATGGAAATTGTGTAAACTGAGAAGATTAATCACAATTAAGAAGAACAGAATTTTACAATTGTACAGTAGAAAAACCTAGTGTTCAAATGTTGTTCTAAACCGACAGGAGTAAAATGACTGCAAAATGGGGGTGGAAAAAAAGTCAAACAGGGCTAAAATAATTTTATGTTATTTCATTTTCTGATTATAAAATTTGTATATACAATACATAAATGGGGGCTGCACAGTGGCACAGTTGGTAGCACTGTTGCCTTGCAGCAAGAAGGTCCTGGGTTCGATTCCCGGGCCGGGGTATTTCTGCACGGAGTTTGCATGTTCTCCCTGTGCATGCGTGGGTTCTCTCCGGGTTCTCCGGCTTCCTCCCACAATCCAAAACCATGACTGTCAGGTTAATTGGTCTTTCCAAATTCTCCTTGTGTGCATGGTTGTTTGTCCTGTTTGTCTCTGTGTTGCCCTGCGACAGACTGGCGACCTGTCCAGGGTGTAACCTGCCTCTCGCCTGGAATGCAGCTGGAGATAGGCACCAGCAACTCCCGACCCCATTAGGGAGAAGGGTGACCGGAAAATGGATGGATGGACTACATAAATGGTGAGGATTCAAATCTGTTAACAAAAGACAAGTGAAACTAATGTTCAAGGTGTAACTTTAACAACTTGCTTGAGAGGTACTCATACAGAGGCAACAAGTGAAGAATCAGAGCACAGCAGCTAATCTGTCCAAAAGTCAAAATGCAAGTTCCCTCTAGTTATGAAATCTGCTCCTTCATTGGATTACAGAGTTGTGCTTCTGCAGTTGTGCTAAAAGTTGTGCAACCAGCTGAAGCACAACTTTTATTTTTTGCCATTTCTTTAATCTTTAACTTAACTTTGCATCACATTCTACACCTGAAATTCTGAACCACATCCAAAATGCTCTTTGTACTGGAGTGAAAGGCATCTGGCAGATGGACATGTGTAGCCTCAAAAGAGTGGTTTCAGTAGTGTGCATCTACTGCCCAGTTTTCTTCTCCTTCTGGAAACTAAAGCTTGTCCTGCGGCTAAGTTTGCGTTGCTTTTGGGCAAAGTAATCTGCCCGGGAGGTGCTGGCCCGAGACTCCAGGATGTAGTTCACCTAGCAAAAGGAAAACAAAAAAAGATTTAGTATTTCAACTTTTTAGTCACAAAGTTTACCTTAGACTTTGCAATTCCAGTGATTAACAAGTTAGGCATTAGCTAAAGAAATATTGTTAGAAAACCTTTGTTCCTCACTGAAAGAGTAGCAGTAATTTACACACAACTTTCTCTACAGTGCAGATAATCACAAAACAATGCAAGGACTCTGGAACAATGATGGAAAGAACAGGATAACTGAGCTGGATAGCTGTGAACTGTTTATGTGGTTTTATAGAATGTTGATTATTGTTGGAAGGATTAATTTAAGATACTTTTTTCAGACACTCAGAATGGAGCCATGAGTCAG